TTCCTTCCTTCTTCCCTCCCTCTTTCCTTCCCTTGTTCTTCAGTCCTCCCCCTTCCTCTTTCCGTCCCCTCCTTTCCTTTCTTTCCTTCCTTCATTCTTCCCCCTCTCCCCCTTCCTCTTTCCCTCCGTCCTCTCCTCCCTCCCTCCCATCCATATAGTTGTGGTGCTAAAGGAAAACAATCACATCCAAATGCTCAACCAAATGGATCACTGGTATGATTTAAATCTCTTTAGAAACGATCATGTGCATCTAAGGCCCGGAACTTCTCCCCTCCCACCTGCCCTGCTCCCTCAGCCCGTTCTTCAGATGAGGCTCCTTCAATGAAAAAAACGGCTGGCCTCCTTCCTTCCCAGTGCAGAAGTTCATCTGCATTCAACAACTGCACTCAATTCTGGGAAACCGCTGCAGACCGAGGCCTGTTTTTAGCCGTGAAAGTTTTTATTCCTCCCCTCTCCAAAAATAACACCGCAGTGATGTTCTTCTGCAAATCTAGCTTTAATATTTATTTGTTAGGTTTATATTCTAGTGTTCCTCCAAGGCGGTGGGTGCAGCCTTCCCTCCTTCAGTTTCCTGCACACCAACATTCCTTGGAAGGCAGGAGGAGCAGGAGGAGCTGCTGGCCTAAAAATCACGGTGTGATCCCTGTGCCTGTCATAAATGCATGCCAGTTGTTAAACGTCTGAATTTTAATCATGTGACTACAGCAGGCATGTCAAACATGATTTCATGGAAGGCCGCATCAGGGTTGTGTTTCACCTTGGGGGGCCGGGGGATGTGGCCAGCTCATCACTTATCGAAGCTCTGTTTTCAGCTGCAACAGCCTCCTGCAGTCCTCTGCCAGCGAAAATGGAGCTCAGGAGGGCACCATGCAGCCCTCCCAAGTTCCGTTTTCACTAGCAGAGGGTTGTAGGAGGCCGTCACGGCCGAAAACGGAACCTGGGTGGCCCGCACATAGCCTCCCCAAGCTCCGTTTTCACTGGCAGAGGGTTGCAGGAGGCTGTCGTGGCTGAAAACGGAGCCCAGGAGAACTGCATGGTGCCCTCCTGAGCTCCATTTTCGCTGGCAGAGGCCACATCAGGGTTGTGTTTCACCTTGGGGGGCCGGGGGATGTGGCCAGCTCATCACAGTGGTCATTTTTTTTCCAGTGCTTTGACTTCTAGCAACTACTTGGAAAAAATCCCTGCCATTTTCTTGGTGAGGTTTTCAGAAATGGCTCCCCATTGCCTCCTTCCTAGAGCTAAGAAAAAGTGACTGGCCTAAGGTCACCTAGCTGGTTTTGTGCCGAGGACAGGACTAGAACTCACAGTCTTCTGGTTTCTAGCCTGGTGCCTTAACTACTGTACCAATCTGGCTCCCTTTTAACAGTTTAGGACCCTGATACTTAATTAAGGAACTATAGCTCTCTCTATGTAGCTATCCTAACATGAGGTGTTGTGGGATGGCCCTGATCATCCCATGGATGCAAGAAGATTCTTCTCTAACACGATGCTCTAACTTTGGAAAGCCTTCCTCTGCCACCCTTGTTTGCTTTTATTTTTATTTTGACATTCAAGATTTAAGCATCCTCTTCTAGCTGTGTCCAACTGGTCCTTATTTAAATACCTCCCTCTTATGCCTCTCTTCATGTGTTATGGCTACGGCTATTTTAATCTTTTAAAATTTTGGTTCTCTTCAGTTCATTTTAGTGCTTTATCCTATCTATTTATGGACTGCCATCCATCTTGAAATTAGAAGATTAATGGAAGAGGAAATGTAAGGAGATGGGATCAATTGAAAAGGATTATGGCATCACTATCCCAAGAGGCAATTGGACTTTTTTTTGTTTTTCCTTGAAGATGTTTCCTTCTCATCCAAAAACTTTCTTCAGTTCAGTTCAGTTCTGAAGAAGCTTTTGGGATGAGAAACGAAACCTCTTCAAGGAAAAACAAAGAAAGTCCAGTTGCCTCTTGAAAAAACACCTTTGGGACAACCATGATCCGAATCTCCATAGACATAAGGCATCACTAATTACTTTAGGTTGAAATAATATGAGACAAGCTTTAACAACCCTGTTGTAGTGGGCTATGGAAATGGCCTTGAGGAATATATATTCAACAATTGTTCAGTAAATAAGAGTTTAGTTCCAAAAGTGAGACTGGAGTAAGGAAGAAACTCAATATTTTGCCATCTTGATTCTCTTTGTTATAAGGTAGGGAAAGAAAGTTTCCAAGATGTTACATTCTTATAAATAAAATAGAGTGCCAGTAAAATTTGGAGACTGTTTCCTGACATGGCCTACTTTGAAGGGTTTGACACACTCCCAAAGGTCCTTATTCCAAAAGGAAAGTGGGCTTTTGTTTTTCTTTGAAAACGTTTTGCTTCTCATCCAAGAAGCTTCTTCAGTTCATTGATGAGAAACAAAACAAAACATTTTCAAAAGGGGAAAAAACCCCAAGGAAGTCCAATTGTTTTTAGAAAAAGCACCTTTGGGACAACCATGACCTGGATGACTGAGAATCTCCATAGACATTTTACACTCTCATTGATTCCCTAAAAAATAAAGCACATAAAGAAGAAACACCCATTAATTTGTAGGATTGGTTTGTGTTTTTTTTACTTTAGAAACCACTGGCTTCCAAATTATGAGATCAGCAATACAAGTGTATTTAAACTGTCTTTAAAAGAAAAATAAACTAGTATTCCTAACCGAGCATTAAAAGACCTCAGGCAGGAACTGTAGTTGAGCTTCAAAGAATTGAGCATCCCTGTATAAAAAGTGTAACTTCACGATATTTTAAAACCAGGTCTTTGTGATTTTAGGAGGCATCACTTTAGCATTTCTGAAGCCGTGCTATTTTCTGACTCTTCCCCGCAGCCCTTCTTACAAAATGAATTGTGAGCAGCCCAGTTGTGTACCATGGAACTTCAGGCTCACCGACCCACACGGGGTTTGTGTTCCTACACAGACGTACGCCACCTGGAATGCGTAGTCCATCCACGGCAATGTTTTTCACACTCGATCAGACTTTTAGTTAAGGCAAGAAACTGCATGACCCTGGGGAAGAAAGTCATCTGAACGATTTCTCCGTCGGCAACAGACCTGGGCTGATGAATTAAGCAGCCAGCCTTGCAATGCTCATGGCAAATACTGATCAACCTGCCCCTCTCCTCTTGGCAAGGCCTACATCTGACGTAGTGAAACAACACAGTTCCCTTTGGGTGCCGGATCAAATGATAGGACCTGTTTTCATAGGAATTTCCTGGGATAATGAAATGCTCTCCCCCCTAAAAAGCTCTTTCGAGGCCCCCAAAAGCCTGTCAGAAGATTCTCCTTGGCTTTCCAGTTTTGCATAGTCGAGTAGGCCAATGTGATCAAGTCTCGGCCAGCTCCTGTGTTTCCTGTCTATGCTGGGTGCCACCAAAGCCGTTCTTGGCTGGCCAAGATCCAAGGATTTAGAATGACCTGAATTTGGGAACTCTCTCTTTGCACATTCATGAAATTCACCCACCAAGGTGCCTGAATGGGGCGTGCTATCCATGTCAATAACTACGTGGCTGTCTTTAAGAGTGTCCTTCCTGGGCACAACATGGTTGCTGCATCCAGGCGGAAAAGCCCACGAGAGTCTCCGTACCTCCTCCTTCTCCTCTGGCAACCTACAATTGCTTCCCAAGTCCCGGACACCCACCCAAGAAACGCTCTGCTTTTCGAGCAGACAATTGTTCAGCTTAATGAGAGGCAAAGGCAGGGCGTTGACCGCTGTCGAGAGGATGGACTCTGTTCCGCAAGCGAAGGAGAAGGCTCCGTTCTCTGGCACTGCGTTGCCGGAGTCCGAATGGACACTCAAGAGGGACAGCGAAGGGGAGGTGCTCTTGTGATGGAAGAACTGGGTCGTGGTTTGGAGCCTGCTGGAATTGCAGCTGTTGACCCATTTCTTCACAGGGCTGGAGCAAGACTGGAAGCCACTGGAAGAAAGGTCCACCTCGTAGTAGCCTTCTACACATTCGGCATTGGCCCTGAGGGTAGATGAGGTGGTCCTCCTCCGTTGAAAGTAATCGCTTGCTGGTCCGGTGTCCTGTGAGAAATTCAGGCCCATGGAATAGAGCTCCTGCTGCATCAACAAGCGAGTTTCCATGTCTCTATTTTCGTACAGCATAGTATTCGCACAGATGAAGATAAAGAGGCCCACACCCATGACGACCGGCCCAATGAGCTTCAATTTCTCACTGTGAAGGAACAGGCGAGCTTGGGGAGAAACCTTAATCTCCTTCCTTATCTCTCCGGTGACATTGGAGTTGCCTGCTCTGCCACTGCCAGACTTCGTACGGTGAGGCCAATATCCGATCACGGCGATGGTCATTCCCACCAAGACCACCGAGATCCCCACCATCACGAAGACTCCGGAGGGTGAGCGCATCCGAAGCTGTCCCTTCACCACCATATGCGGGGAGGGCTTGCGGCGAAACCGGCCCCTGTGCCACCGAGAAGGAGCAGAGGATCCGGATGTTTTCTTCTCTGAGGTGTTGTGGGTCTTCATGGCTTTGGCAACTTCAGTTATATGATCAGTTCCTCTTGGGTTGTCTACAAGTCATCTTAACAATAGTGAGAGAGAGAGAAAGAGAGAGAGAGAGAAGGAAAAGGGTTAACCAACCAGGAGACAGAGCAGAAGTACAACATAGAGCAATAGGTTCAAGGGCTTCTTGTCCAATCCCTTGCCTAAATAAAGCAGGAGAACTTATTCCATCCCATCCCAGATAGCATGAATGTAATTGGAAGGTTGTGATCCACCCAGAAGGGCTTAGAAAGACCTCCTAAGCTTTCCTTCCCAACCTCCACCTCTAAACTCTACTATGGACTCAGATAGGTTTATACACAGAGAGGCTCTCATCTTGTACAATTCAGGAACGTTGATACGATACTAGAGCAGAGGTCTCCAAACTTGGCAACTTTAAGACTTGTGGACTTCAACTCCCAGAATTCTCCAGCCAGCCAGCTGGAGAATTCTGGGAGTTGAAGTCCACAAGTCTTAAAGTTGCCAAGTTTGGGGACCCCTGTACTAGAGGCACGTGTTCTTTGCATAACACAATAACTTAGCCACAAAAAGCTTCAAACCAGAGAAAAGGGATAACTAACCTCTAATCAACAACCAAACCTTTTGAGAATTAAAAAAAAAGGCTAGACTGAGACCTCAGTTTCAAATCCTGATCCAAACCTAACCCTTCTTGGCTAGCTTAGCTAGCCTAGGGGGGAAATTGCCTTCTAAATTTGATAATGAATTTATTTTTATAGTAAGGCTCATGCATACTTTATAGGGGTATGAAAACATGTCTCTGAAGGCCCATTTGCTATTGGGTGTGTTGTCTTTGTAGTCTTCTTGCACATCACCCCCTTTCCTTGCAGCCTTTGGAGGCCAAAGCAACAGGTCAGTCATGCCATTTTCCATTATCTCAGCCCTTTATATCTGTCCTACATTTTTTAAAAAGTGGGTCTGGCGATACAAGGCAGGAACTCAAGGGGAGTTGCAGTCTGGCACATTGCTAGAAACACAATTTAAAGCTCATCAACAATGTATTGAGCATGCGATACATTCTTTGTTTTCATTTAATCATGTTAAGGTATTATCTGTTCCTGTCCCAAACTGTCAAAATTCTGACATCAGGAGAAATTATAGGAAGAAAGAAAAAGAAAGAAAGAAAGAAAGAAAGAAAGAAAGAAAGAAAGAAAGAAAGAAAGAAAGAAAGAAAGAAAGAAAGAAAGAAAGAAAG